TTTATAACGTAAGAGAATAAACAGACCGAGAGGTTGATAGGACCTTGCGAGAGAACGAAAATCCTAGGAACTTATGAGAGTTAGTTGTTCATCTTGAGACCGAGAGGAGATAGATAACAATTAATATCTATGATTTAACTACTTCGAGAGAAAGGATTGAAATTAATTTAGCGATTATCTCTACGATTGATAAAATTAAATAAGGTTTGCTTGAATATAAATGTTTCATGAATTAATTCCGAGGAACGCTTAGCCTAGAATCTATCGTTTTTATCTTGTTTTATTTTTTATTTTTAGATAAATTAGTTCTTAGTTTATAATCATCATCCAAATTTGCTAGTCTAGATAATATTTAATCGTCACTATTTTAATACTTAATTAATTTATCTACAATCTCTGTAGAATACGACATTGCTCGCCACTTTCTATAGCTACTCCGTACACTTGCGGATAGCGAAAATAATTAGCGAACATTTATGAAATAAAAATATTAAATGAGTATAATAAAATAAAAAATATTATTTATAAAATATTATTAAAATGATTTACTCTGACACAAAAAATGAATTAAGAATATTATATATATATTATCATTTTTTAGTAAATGAATTTAATTAGAAATAAGTAATTTTAACTTCTAAATTTTATTTTAATTTTATTTCATTGTCTTAAGTTATACAAAATAAACAAAATGATTTATATAAAATTAACAAAATAAATTATATAAAGTTAAGAAAATTAAATAAAATTAAAATAACTCATTTTGTTTATTTTGTATAACTTAAGACAATGAAAATAAAATTAAAATAAAATTTATAAACAAAAGTTATTTATTTCCAAATTGTATAATTTTTAAATTTAATTTAATTTAAATTCATTCTACTATAACATAAAACTTGATTTATTTAAATTTTTTATTTTCATTTGATTTTATATAATTTAATCTATTATATTTTTATATTTTATTAATTTATTTTATATTATCTTTTAAATTTAATTTTATTTATTCATATGTAACTCTATATACATAAATGATAAAACGCTATTAGGTTTTTTAAGTAACTAGGATTAGTGTGGTGGTGACATTGCTACCATATTACCTTCATGTCACATGTTCGAATCTCAGGGGCAACATTATTTTTTTTTTATTTTTAATTGACACATCCCATGTCAGTAGAAAAATGCCATGTCAGCACAAAAAGCCCGAATTGGGCCCTATGATTTGAATTGCAAACAATAGTCAAAGTGGTGTACATTAACTTGCTAAATTACGAAGGTGGTGATTAGATTGCAAAAACATGAAAGGTGGTGCATTAATATGCAATTTTGTCTTTTTTATATTTATTAACATCTTCTCCCTCTCTTTAAGAAGTGAGATTTTATCACTTGTTATTTGAAGTGGATCTGGTTTATTGATTTTAGATTTCTTTTCATAGAATCTAAATATCCTGAAATTTTTAAATCTAGTGTTGTTCGCAATTTTCTTATTTGAACAGGTTGATTATTTTTTGTGAAAATTATTCTATCAGTGTACTGAACAAAAGGTTCATAGAATTGACAGAAGTTATTTCCCAGAATAAAATCCATACCAGATTCTTGTTGATAAACAGTTGCAATATGAAATATTTCTCTGCAATCAAAATGTTCAAGTTTTTGCAAACTTTGTTCATTAAAATTGTGCTTCCATCGACAATTTTTACTTGTAATGATTTGAAGCATTTTTTCAATGTTTTTCAGGGATAATATGTTTTGAAGATATACAAAGACTTGCACCTGTATCAACAAAGCAATGTATTTCCATTTGTTTATATCTTGCGAATGTCAATTTACCTTTAATGTAGACTGAATTTGGATTTGTAATACTGATGAAGTTATCCTCACTCTGTATCACTATCTTCTGAAGTAGATGTTCCTGAAGAAGATTCATCTCTATCCTTTTTAATGCGTATACTTTTTCTATATCTGAATGTTCTTCCTCAATTGATTCAAAATCAAATGATTCAGCTATTTAAAGAAATTTTACTTTCTTAGATTTTTGTTTATTAAGATATTAATTTGCATAATGACCTTCGATGTTGTAGATCTAACATCTACAATTCTTTTTACCTTTAGGGAAATTTTTTTGCTTAGGTTGAGACTTTTGTTTCTTCCTGAAATATTTACCAGGTTTAAAAGATTTTCTTTTCTTTATTTTTTAGTATTTATATTTTTTAAGATATCTCTTCTTAGATTAGCCTTTGTTTGATTTACAACCATATTCTGTAGGATTTTCAGAAATTGTTGAACAACAATTTCTGTTAAACTTTTTCATTTATTTTTTCTTTTTAGAAGCATTGCAAATTTTTTGAATTTCTTCTTTTACAACTTTTTTGGCATTGCATGTATCATGTATGCATTTATCAATTTACATTACAAAGCTTCTAATGGCATGAAAAAAAAAAATTATTGTGAAAAATGTGAGGTTTGATAGCTGAGTTTTGAAGTCACCCCTTATAATGCCTTTTACTTTTTAAACTAGTACGTAGCCCGTGCGATGCACGGGTTTGAGTTTCCAGAAGGCCTGTCCATTAGGTTTAAAAAAATAGAGTTAGATCATCTATTTTACACTTCTTTTGATCATCGTTATTTTTTTAGTCATAACGTTAAACCTCAACCTATTAGCTCTAGTATGTAAATTAATTATTAGCTCTAGTATGTAAATTAATTAATATATTATCTCGCTAAAACGTTGATACTAATATAAATTTGATTTTAGTATATATATTTATTCTTTAATAGTTTTACATATTAATATAATAGTTTTAGTATACTAATATAATAGTTTTACATATTCTGGTATAATATTTAATTTATTATTTTATCATAAAATTTATTGTCATTATAATTTTTTAATAAATATTTTAGAAAATAAAAAAAAAATATTTATCTATTTACAAACTCATTATCTCGAGTTTGAAACCATAAATTTTATTCTTAAAATAAAATTCGAAAAATTTTAACTTGTAGCCAGAGATGAATTTGAATTGATTTGAAATTCCTAATCCATCTCAAATTTATTTTGTGAAAAAGGCTTTCCAAAATGTTTATACCAAGAGTCCTAATATTTTTAAATTGTAAAAAGTCTTTATGAAAAATATCTCCACTGACTTTGGCGGACCACAATATCGTATTTGATTCAACAAATTAATTGATTTTAGGAAGTGAATAGTTGTGTATGTATATGGAAGAAATTTGAAAATTCAAATTCCAAAACCAATACCATAATATCGTATTTGATTCAACAAATTAATTAATTTTAGGAAGTGAATAGTTCCGTATGTATATGGAAGAAATTTGAAAATTCAAATTCCAAAACCAATATCGTATGTGATGGGTTTATACCAAGTTCCCAATTTTTTCAAAATTGTATAAATCCTTCATGCAAGGAATCTTCACTAATTTGGGGACCAACAAATTACTTAAATTTAGGAAGGCATAAATTGTGTAAGTGGATACTGTTTCTGTTGTATGTTTAAAGAAAATAAATTCAAAAATGGTATTGATATGGGATTGTATTATGAGGGATATAACAAAAATACAAACTTTTAGGATACGATTTGATTTGAATTTTTCAAATTAAATTCCACTTTTTTAGGCCGCCTAAGTCAAATGATAATAAGGATTAATGTTAAAAAAAAGAAAAAAAATCCAAAAATAGTAAACAATTAATGTTGTCCTAAAATTTCTAGTTACTATTTATGGTAAATAGTAATTCTTATTATATATATATAGATTCTTAATGATAATTTTAATGCTATTTGTGATGATGGAATGTTGAAGTAATTTTATTTGATATTTTAATTTTTATTATTTATTTAATTTCTTATAATTTTATAATTTAAAAATTTGTCTAATTATAGGCATTCATATGTTTTTCAATTTATAATAGTGTGTAGACTACTATATCATAATACAAATTAAATCTAATAATAGCGAAATTAGTTATAAAATATTTTAAAATTGTCTTCTGAAACCTACATATAAAGGATATTAAAAAGAGACATTTTCGTAAATTCAATTCGATAACCATGAAAATATTTTATCTCTATTTTCTAAATATTCATACAAAAAATTTGGAATAATTTATCTAAAGAAAAATAACATTGCCCAAAAAATGGTGTATACATACAAAATTATAGCACATATATGATCTTTTTTTTTTTAAATTCGCATGTTA